CAAGGACAATTTACCCGTCAATGCCCGAAACTTACGAAGAATAACTAAATCCCACATTGAAGCGAGTGCTCAGCGCATTGATGAATTAAACGCCAGATTGAGATGTGTGGACCAAGTACCCAATTGCTTAAACATTGTATGCCGTGCAAAATTCTTCAACTTCCTTCGCACTTTGTTGCTAAAAACGCGTACAAATACTAGAAAGCACCTAATGAGCTCCATGTCACGGGAATGTTTCAACGATCAGTTGCCGTTAGAACCTGAGAAGTATGTGTTAAATCTATCAACCACTCCGTTGAGTCGTCACCAACTTGAAGCTTTATCCCTTGGTTTCAATTTTTCAGTTCCACCAAACAGATGTGACAGAATAGGGACTGAAGCTCAGTTTGAGCATCTGTACGAACAACTGTCCAGTTTAACACCGGTCAGCGAGGATGCAAGCGGCTGGTTTAGAGCTAAAATGGTAGATTTGGCCAACCAATTCTGTGTCAGTGAAACTGAAAAGTGCAGAATCCTTACGAAGGATCATTGGGAATCCTTGATGCAACTGCGGCGAAATGAAAATCTCGTAATACTGCGACCAGACAAAGGATCAGGAGTTGTGATTTTGGAAAAGCAACAGTACATTCAGAAAGTCCAAACAATCCTTGCGGATTCTAGTCGTTTTGTTCAGGATGTAACAAACCGAGACAAAACTGAACAGACAGAGAAGTTAATAGTCCGTGAATTGAAGAAGCTAGTGAAGGCCGGATTGATGGATGCCAAAACTATGACTCAGTTACGCCCCCGGGGATCACGACTTCCCCACATGTATGTCTTACCGAAAACTCATAAAGAAGGTGTCCCAATGCGTCCCATCGTCTCAATGGTAGACACCATACCAAAAATTAGCGCGATGGCTAGCAAAACTTATTGAGCCCATCCGGAGGGACCTGACGAGTTACAGTCTAAGAGACACTTTTGAATTTGTCAACAAGATAAGTAATTTGAATGTAAAGGGAAAACACATGGTTTCTTTCGATGTATCATCATTGTTCACGAACGTACCTTTGGAAGAAACACTAGATATAATAGCCAGACATGCTGATAAAGTTGGGTTCCCAGCGCTCCAACTCAAATCATTACTGCGCCTATGCACAAAAGATATTCAGTTCCGGTTCAATGGAACCCTGTATCGACAAATCGACGGCGTGGCCATGGGCAGCCCATTGGGCCCAGTTTTGGCTGATATCTTCCTCGGCCACTTGGAAAACACTGTGTTAGCTTCTTACCTACAAAATGTACACCTTTATTGTCGGTATGTAGACGACACATTCATCGTCGTTGACACACCTGAACAGGCGGCGCATTTACTGAAACTGATGAATATGTGCCATCCAGCCATCAAGTTCACAATGGAAAACGAGTCCGACGGATCTTTCCACTTCTTAGATGTTAACTTACAGAGAAAGCCAGATGGTACACTCGTCCGATCTGTGTACAGAAAAGCAACATGGACAGGGCAATACTTGAACTTTAATAGCTTTTGCCCAATGAACTATAAACGAGCCCTAGTACGTACCACTTTTGCTATAGCTCGCCAAATTTGCTCAATAGACACAATCGAACATGAACTAGAACGAATCACCTTGACGTTACAAGAGAATGGTTATCCATCGCGATTTATAACTCGGCACTCGAAAATACGATCCAGAGGTAAACCACCAACCGACGTCCCAAAGAAAAAAGTATTCATTACACTGCCCTTCAAAGGAGATCAAGTTGACCGAAGATGCAGGCATCGCCTCCGTCAATCAATTAAGAAGTGTTACCATGCGGCTGAGCTAGTGGTATTGCATCAAGTCAGAAGGTTGCTCTGTAAATCCAACCTGGACAGACCAGACTCTCAAGTTACCGCCTCATGAATTTACCTCTTTAATTGTACTTGCGGTAGTAAGTACATAGGCCGAACTGAGAGAAGGCTGTCAGCGAGGATTGCAGAGCATGTTCCGCGAAACATGATCGCTAAGGGTCCGAAGCTACCGACTAGCTCTATTGCCCGCCACATACTTGACTGCGCTGAATGCCAGAACCCACGTGGCAATTTCAGGGTAGTTAGCAAACAGGTTAATTCCCGTTTACTACAGTTTGCGGAAGCGGCTGCAATTCGGCGGCTGAAGCCAGATTTGTGCAAGCAAACGGATTTCGTGACCACGCTAGCCCAACCCTGTTGAGGCGAGTGATTGCGTTTTCCTCAGAACAGGTCACGTGAGCCTAAAGACCTTCGACCGCTTTGAATTTTTGCTGTTAACATCGCACTGTTTTCCACTCATTGTATGTAAACAGCTGAAGAGAATACGCGAAATTACTGAATTCAGTAAATTCTGTTATAATGTTGTTTCTTCTTGCTTTATTGAAATGCCTACTGTGATTAGTTGCTCATTTCAATCGTGGCCGAAGGTGAACAACATTGCTCATGACTATACGTTGCAGGAATTTATAGGTAGCAGAGGTATGGTTTATAGGGTGATAACTTCATATTTCATCTCGCACGCCTCTTTGTGTTTCGGTATTATGATAGAGTGCTTCCACTGAGGTGGGTAGGAAATAGTGTTTAGCGACAGAGTGATGTTTGGCCACAAGATAGAACTATTTTCGCCACCGAATCTCGTTGGCAACTTCGGCACTTTGATTCAGCCATCATAGCCTTAATATGGCTTAATGTATATATGTTAGCGTAGGGAACATGTTGGCCTTGTCACAAGATGCCCTGAGTGTCTTCAAGTTGCTTTCAGTCTTGTCTAGTTGCGCATGTTTTCCGCATTCTTTATAGGTGGGGATCCATACCACAAGTGCGAGTACCTCGGTACACGCAGCAAGGATGTTGACAGATTCACCGGTATCCATAGTCGGGTTGTTGGTTCAGAATGATGGCTCCCAAATTCTAGTGCGGATAAGTTCCTTAAATGCATTCCATGCAATTCGGTGAATGTTATGAGTGGGTTGCAACTTTGTAGGTAGTGCTAGACACTGTGTTGATAGCATCCATTAGCTGCCAGGTTTCATGGTGGAATGCTCGGGGTGGGTTGCTCAGTAGATACAAGCAAGTACAAGATACCAACGAAATGGAACAAGTTTCGTAAGCTAAAGCGCGTAACGCAGTGAAGTGGTTTACTCATATAGAGATATATACTTACGACGGACTTTTCGTCATCAGTAGCACTCATTATGTGCTTAAGGACGTTCAATTTGAAATCTGAACTTGAAGAGGCCTTTAGAAAATCATGTTATGCCTAATTAAGTTGATATTCCGAGAATAAGAAACCTCTCATCTCATTTTAACCATTCGTTGTGGTTCGAGACAGTCCGACTCTGGTTTAACAAGAGGAAACCAGTATGTTAGTCTCTTGCCAAGGGCACTCGACAGTTTAAATTCATCCAACTTCTCCCGGATGTTGAACGCCTACGTACATCCCAAGTCAACTATGTTATCCAGGTTTGGCACCCCTCGTTGCAATACAACCTTGCTGCGCTCGAACGACGCCGGGCAACAAAGATTGCCAAAGACTTATGCCATCTTCTTATCAGAACGACTGCTGAGACTCGGATTTCTCAGTGGACTCTACGGGGAGATCTCATAATGGTAGAAAAATTACTGAGTGCTTGCAGTCATGTATGCCGACAAGTTTTGCAGCCCAACAAGAACAGCTGTAAATTAAGCCAATATTACAGTCGTGCGCTCCCGTGTCACCCTAAGGCGTGCACCTTGTAGAACAAGCAACAGAGTAAAAACGGACAGTTCTCTCAGAACACATGATACACAGACAGAGAAGATTCTGTGTCGTTTAGCTGCTGAGATATAATCCAGTGCAGTGGTTGTGGATCAGAAGCATGGTAACAGACCGCTACGCCTCTTTGTTGTTTGAACCAACGATGGGCGAGCAATGTACAGTAACCTTCACATGGTCAGGTTATAGAGATTAAATTAGTAGCAACTGTTATAGCTCAAGTGGTCTACATAAAAGCCTAAAGAGGTGGTCAACATACAAAGTTCTGGTTTCATAAGGTGTAGATGGGGAAGGTTCATTCGATGGAAAAATACGGTCAAGTTATAGTGGTGGTCAACAAAGAGAGATGCTCAACTGGGGAGTTTTTAATGTATTGAGATCACCACAGAAGGACTTGCTTTAAAACTGAATAAACCTGTGTAGTCCGGACGACCATGCTACTTGCCAATTGCCTGGATGGCTTACGAAAGTTCAGTGGACCATGACCCAACGCCGTGTTTGTATGTGGGTTGAATATAGTGCTCACATGTTCTTTGTCTCGCAGATATACTAGGGCAGACTGAGCAACTGAGCGAAACGGGTCATTGAACTTAGGGCACCCCATCACATCCAACCTGCGGCGCGCGTACATTTGCTTTAATGGTTGGCGGCATCGGGTTTCAGATTTGCCTGTCACTGTGGCCAGCCATAGGACGCCTGCACCTACAGAGGGACCATGGGCGGCTTGTGCTGCACCACCCACAGCTCCATCCACACACCCCATATACAGTGTAAACCCGAAAGAATACGACCGGGAGGCATGTGGATGGGAGCCACGTTTCATCAACGGAGCCGGCCCACACTCCTTCACAGGCATTTGCTTTAATACCTGCCACCTTACACGTAAGTCATACGAGATACCAATGTTGAGACGAACAACTGAAGCCCACTAACTTCGTCGAGTAATTTGACTGATAGAAAGATAACAACCTGGTATTTACTCAACGCAACTGAACGCGGCACTAGGTGCTAGATACACGAATTTTCACATAGCTGTATTTTGTGTGTTTCCCGGATTGTTTGTTCAAGTTTACACGATTTGAATGCAACGTGTAGCTTATCACAGTTACCGGCCTCAACAGAATCGAAAGACTAGAATCACTATCCTGAGCATAGTCACTATAAGCGCCAGTGCCCTGCACTTCCACATACCCAATGCACCTAAGGCACCTGAATTGTGATTTATTTTCTCAGTGGACAGGTGCTCGCTTCGGTGGACATCTTACTTCACCAGAAACAGTACCCAAACATGATGCCAAAATCGAAATCCGTCTGTCAAGATTCTAGCGTGCACCTGGAAGGAGCACTTCATGCGGAGTGTCATTTAGAGCCACGAACAGTGTGAGTTTCTCCTTTATTGCAATTTCTTGATTAAATGCATTGGTTTCAGCGGTGGTTTCATGCTTACTTGTTCAGATGTAATGCTGCTTTTACGACAGTTGTCCGAGTTAAGCACATTAGAAACGTGATCTTTTACTCCTGAGAAAGGCCTTATTAGCCGTTTCCGTCTGCTTAAAACTATATGCATGTGATCTAGCGCGGTATGATGTCACGGTTTGCGCGTACTTCACTGTTGGTGCGGACGTTTAGCCTGGGAAGCAGTATTTTATCCAACTGTAAGCTAATTGGGTGAGAAAATATGTTAACCATCACCAATTCCATGTATCCACGACGCCTTGTTGCAGTATGAGCCCTACCTGATCACTTCCACTTACTGATATACACATGGATAGGTAACGACGATAATTTGATTACGTGAGATCCAGAGTGATCGGTGTACGATGCCACTGCACATAAATTGTAGATAAGAATGTGGACATCGCATTTCGGGTGGCAGCTTTCTTCGTACAAACCTGCCTACCTGAATCAATAGTCGATTGTGGTGGGTATCGTTTCCGCTCTCGCACATCACTGGCACTCTACGATCGGTTTATCCCCTCTTTGGGATCTTTAAATAACCACAGCTGAGAGTGGAATCCGAAACGTACTCGTTGTCAGCTTATACCTTGAACATTAAGCAGCTGAGCTCTGCGGGTATCGCTTAACACAGAGGTTCGAAACCTCTTGTTGAGCTTTGGAGCACTCCCTGATCGTTTGGATTTTGCCCGAAATAAATCAGGACGAAACAGCTCTTAGAGTGCAGTGTTGGGGACAGAAGAACCGAACTCTCTATTCGTGTTTCTGTTACTGTCCACGGGTAACATATTTATGTATTTGCATACTTGACGTATATTCGCACTTGGCTTGTCAAGCTCAGTGGTCTACGATAGAAAGAGTATTGAGCCATTACTGAGAGACGGATCCTAGAAACAGCCAATCGTTCGTGGGAAAATGCTGCACCTAATCTTCTAGTCAGTGCTGCAGCGTGTTAAGCCGCGCAACGTTTTGTATACACATAGTAAACATCCTGCCTTTAACTGTTGTCACTAGCGTCCCCAAAGTTGTCATATGCTCCCGAAACATGCATCTTTTGATGTACAGCCAGTAGGTTTGGTCGCTGTGTATAGGCCACATATACAACTACGGTGATGTTCGCTCAGCCACACTCCGTCACCACTTAGTTCGCTAATACGCTGGCTACATGGCACATTGCCGACGATCTGTGATTGCTTGTCTGCTAGAGACACGTCAGCAACCAAGTATGTCTCGCTTAGACGTCGCTGGCTAGTGCCTAACCATTGAGTATCACATTTGCTCGTCTGTAAGGTTTGTACCAACTGCTAAGCAAATATTCGCATAATGGGATTACACTGCACAATATAACGCAATAGTGATATAATATTGCAGCTAGAATATGCTAATATTGATGCATTTTCATTAATAATTATTTGCAATCAATCATGAGGATACTTTTGCTTAACACGGACAACGTTCTCCTTGCGGAACCGATACCGTCGACAAGTTTTGTGTGCTTCTAGATTTCCGAACGCAAGGAGTGTCTTAAAGAGTTCCGTGGTGAATATATACTACAGTACTACTTAACATTTTGAGAATAAAGGTGGCTCCTACTTAACTAGTTAACCAACACCTCGTTCTATTCGCCTGACCAACCTAACTTATCCTTTCCTATTAACACACCATGCACTTTAGTGATGTCAATTCGTATCCTGGTGGCTCAGAAGCCGAGAGTGTCGGCTCCCGGACCGAGGCATTTGCATTTGTAACTGACCTGAGTTTCTAGTTTAATAAATGCAAGGTACTCTGCTTATGACACATTAGGACCTACTTCCATAAGCCAGGAAAGCAAGTATTGCAACGAACTTCCTTCGAAAGCTACCTATGCGTTCTGGCTCGGGATGACTTTGCTTGCCACCGGCAATCCGAAAAGGCATCGTAGACTGGTAACCAAAGCGTCGGACTGTTGAGACGGGCGTTCGGACAAATAGATGTTTCTATTCTCCGACGGATGCTTAACACCTATGTTTGTTCCCATGTAGAATATGCAATTCAAGCCTAGCTGTCATTACTGACGCGTGAACTAACTGCACTGATCAGCCTAAACGTCTGGCCTCCAAGTACGTAATTGGAATGTGCAATCTGCTATAAGAGCAAAGGTTAAAGCTTTTGAGAGTATCCTGTGGACGGTATTACCGACCACAAGGAGACCCGATAATGGTACATTTCATTTTGTACAATCCAAATTAGGTGTATCGCTCTTTACTGCAACACATTAGCAACATAAAATTAAGAGGTCACCTGTTGGGACTAGCAGGACAGTACAGCCGCTTGGCCAGCGGCAGAAACTCCCTGCCTAACCGCGTACCACTCATGAAACACTTTCCCTGCACCTACACTAGTCGTATTTAAAACTCGGTTTGACGACGAACTCAGCTCCTACTCCTGAGAAAGACCTTGGACTTTTTAATTGTCGCCTACCGGAGCTGTGAAACTACGCTGACTGCAGGGCTACTGCATTAAAAGCAAGTGGTGTATTCTTTTGCCAGTAAAAGTGCCAACTACATCTTTCGCGAACGTTCTTCGATAACCAAAAAGACCACGCAATGGGGCTTGTCAAGCAGTGTTTAATTGTTCATTGAATCGTCATTGTTGTGTACGGCACTCATTTCTTCACTCTAAAGCGAGGAATCAACGTTGAGTACCGTGAGAGACAAGATTTGTTTAGAAGGTTTCAGTGACGTGTTTCCATCTGGATCAAACCAACAACCAAGCAGGAACAGGCGAACAGTACCATGGTAGCAATAACGAAGGGGCAGAAAAGCACGCAACCGCTGTTAACCAACCGGTTAAGCACACGCGCATGTATTGGTTATGTGTCCGCCCCACAACGCACCATACATTAAAAATAACTACCTGCCACATTCGTGTGTCATTTCCCACCAACCTGGTGGGGTGCTTTGCTAACTGCTTGACTCCCATGTTTACTTCCGTAAATCGCATTCTGACCAGCTTGAATGTGCTCTAAGTCTTGATTTGCTTAGTCTCTGTTGCGGTACGCTGCTTGGAGCTATGTATGCACCTACAAAAGCATTTCTGTCCAATTAAGCGATCTTCCACAAATAGCTTCTCTGTTCTCCGTGGTTCAGGCCTGCTGCAGTTCGTCACTCGCGATCCGCTCTCCGCTCGCTTTGTGTGACTTGCGTTGCGCCGTCTGATCTAGTCCGTGATACCTGTGCTGTTTCTGTCCTCCCTGGTGCCTGTGGATGCCAGTCTTTAGCGTGATCATTATCTTTCGGGCCACCACACTACTTACAAATGAATAAGTACTTACTAACAATATTAGCGAGACAGCTCGTTTCCGGTGAAACGACCTCCTTGCTCTGATGTCTACTCCTCGGATATTTCCTCAGTTATTAACAATACATACCACAATATTGATGATTCCAACTCAGCTCAGCTGCAAATGCAAATTATTCGGTATGATATCAAACAATCTTGGCGTCTTAGCAATCAAGGTACGAAGTGGCCGCACTACAGTGTACAGTGAGTTCTTGGGATAGGTGAACAGGTAGTACTGGTTGCTTACGCGAATGGAACGAGGGTTGGGTCAGCCTACTGTTGAAAGGAGGTCAGTCTCCTTGGAGCGTTTTTCAAATGGGTCACAGATGCACAGAAGCAGATGAGGGAGGGAAAAGACAATCATGCCCAGTGCGAAAGGAAGGTGTAGACGCACATGGTAGTCATTAGTAGGCGAGGTGATAAATATGTTCTTGAGCATAGAATGGATTTAAAGAAGGATTGGATAGACATAAACATGTCAGCACATGAAGAGTTCGGAAGACCGTTTAGGAAATAGGCTCACATAGACTGGAATAGGGTCAACCCATGGCGCATCCAACGTTTGGATGAAGAGCTCCAAAAGAAGAGCAACACAATGTGTCTTGCACCCATTGGGTCTTAACTAAATGCATGATATCCTCAATTAGATACCATGCTACTTGCATCATTTTCATCAAAACAACAACCGTCTTTGCATCCGTGATGTATCCTTTGACTTATAGCTTGGAAGAGACGGAAAAACTGAAGCAGACTCTCCGTCAAAAGCCCATATCGCGGTTGGGTTACAACCTCGGAGAGCGTCGGAACATCCTGCGACACTTGGACCTGGCCATCTACACACAGGGAGCTGTTTTTGGTATGCAAAAACGTTACTTTCGTTTCTACCAATCCTCCAAATTCTGATGCGCATTACATTTACCACTACAGTTATTTCACAAATGTCCAGCGCCCTACCCCGGTGTCAACGCACCAAGCGCGGCATGAAGATAACAGCGTAGCTTGGATGCGTAGCGAAAGCGTTTTACTATTACCTACATAACGCATATTCTTTGCGTGGATGTTATGTATTCATTTAGCCGCTGTAAGATGCATAGTGAAGAGAGCTAAGCGAAAATACTTGTGGGTTGTAACTAGGTAGTTAGCGTTGCTCAGCAGAATAAGGTGGGGATCCGGGAGTGTGGTTGCGAGAGAGGGAGAGTTGTAGGAATGTTAAGCAATCCACAGTTGAGTTCTCAGAATCGAATTGTCAAGCAGTCAGCCACAAGCATCCAGAAGGCAATACGATGTTGATGTATCCTCTGAGGACTAGTTCGCAATGAAGTTTTCATGTAACCCAATACACGACGGTTGCTAACGACAACTAGTCCTAAACCTTTGCCCCACAGAGATAAATGGAGTGGGAATTGTTGACGCATTCTGAGAGCAAGTATGTCTGCTCCGTCGCTGTAATTGAGTTTACTTGTGGTACATCGAAATCCCACTACTTATGCTTATGATGCCGTAGATTAACTTATGCCTGAGAGTTCAGCAGTCCACTTCAGTAAATGGCCACGCAGTATCAGGTGGATCCTTCCTGTTCTCCGTAATCAAGTGATTTTAACTGATGCCCGTTGCAGTTTTACACGAGGCTAGAGGTTAGACGCGTGACCATCGACCGATCGGTGTCTGTCCGGACCGCATTACCTTACCCAGTCACACACAAGAGGGCGTGCCGACTTTTCGATCTCATTGGCTGTTTGATTTTAACAACACGTCAGAGTGGTGAGAATGTACGTGGGTCAATTAGCATCAGTAGAACTTGGGAGCTAGTGCATTGCACGGGACGAGAGCCTTGAAGTATGTGACGCACATAGTGCCACTTTTTCTCATTCCGATACTTCTAAGTTCGATCGATACGAGGTGTGACACAGCTTTGCCATTGGTCCACTCGTTGGACTGTGTTCCGGCCAGACTAACCAGCGGCCGTGATTCAAAAACGTGTTACAAACATGCTTAAACGAAAGCATCGAGCGGCCTGGATATCGCTTCGCTAACCTAAAGAACTGTGTCAAGATAAGTTTTGTGCACCCAGCTAAGTGATAAAACGGCATCAATAAATATGCGAATTTCAGAAGTGTAAAAACGGAATGGGAAAGGATTGCAGAGATGTCATTTGAGTAAACAGGTCTTCATATTTAAACGATTGTAAATTGATAGAAAGATTCTTTACCCGGCTGACAGTGTTAGTTTTGGTTAAAACGTCTATTGACAGCTCGTTTCATTTGGATGACCATCGCAATGAAGCTGGACCTTACCGTGGTGCGATGGTTTGCGTGCTTCAGAGATCCATTGAGCTATGCTGGGAGGTACTTTCTTGCATACCAGTTTGATCAATGGTTAGAGGCCAAACAAACTCAGCCTTCTGGTCTTCCAGGTTGGGGGTTGGAATGAGGGTGACTTCTTACTCCTTAAAACGGACTCCTTGTAGCCCAACGCCAAAGCCGCTATCTTGCGGTCAGGTTTTTGAAACAAAAGCTTTGGTTGAGAACCCTAATTGTTCTCCTGTCGAGGCCTGGGCAACCTGACAGTTTTCTGCCCACGCAATACAACGAACCCTTCATCAAACAATTTCTCGATGCTCTGGCTACCGCAGAGGATAATCAACGGTGCCCTATCTGCTGCATCGAGCAGGGTAGATAGGGGTTTGGATGCTACTGCCCAAGCCTTCCCGTCTTCTTATTTCCCTCCTTACGCTTTTTTCACTCTTACCGTCCCGTTCCAGCTACACTTTTATCCACCTGTTTTCAACCCCGATTCTTGACCCTTCCCCAACTTGCTTCAATAGTCGTTTGTCTTTTAGTTTCAACTCACATGTGAACGCGGAGCGTCATTCCTGCCTGTCGACAAGGCCATGTCCAAGCAATCGGCCAAGCCCACTTCATCGACCTCCATTTGGAGCCCTCGATCATTCTTCAGATTGGCGTGCCTCAATGTACGCACATTGTTACAGATCGGTCAAAAGGCAACACTTGCTCGAACATTAGTGACCCTCTCGATCTATATCTCCTGCTTATCGGAAACCCACCTGCAAGACTGGAGCTCAGTGCTAACTTTGCGATCCCCTTCAGGTGACACCAGTATCACTTACTTATTGCGCCTATCCGGTGACGATGTAGCTTCGAGCACCGGCCAAGCCGGTGTTGGTATTGCCATGAGTCCCCGGGCTGAAGCTACTCTGGTTGATTGGATTCCAATGAATCGCCGGTTGTGTGCGGTTCGCTTGGCTGACTCGTTCAAACCTTCGAAGTCGCGTGGGACTAACAGGTGTCTATTCGTCGTCGCTGCGTATGCACCGACAAACTCTAGCGATGACTCGGTGAAAGATGACTTCTATCGACAAATGAACAAGCTCCTTCGACACAGAAGAAGCTCGGACACGGTTGTGCTGGCTGGGGATCTGAATGCTCAGGTTGGAAAATTATCCATTGATGAACTGCATCCAGGTGGCCAACATGGTGAAGGCTCTCGTTATGATAACGGTGAGCGGTTACTTCATTTGTGTGAAGATGCTGGATTGTTTCTTGCGAGCACTAATTTCCGACACAGCTCCCGCCGGAGGCTGACTTGGCACCCAGCAACATCGGAACAGCTATGGATGCAAATGGATCACATTGCGATAAGTTACCTCTAGAGAGGCTGGGTCCAAAACTTTCGCTCGATTTGGAGCACATATCTGGACACCGACCATGCACTTGTATGTGCTGACCTGCGCATGGGTTTTGGCGGACGCCCACATCGACGTTGTGAGCGCATTGACACCAGCCAACTGGCGAAGCCAGCTGTTCGGAATGCCTATCAAAGTACGCTGTCATGCGAGTTGGGTTAGTGCTCACTGGATGCACTTGAAGCTCACTGGTCTGATATACACCAGACCTTACTAGCAGCAGGAAAATCCTCATGTAGTAAGTCTAATCGCCAACTTGGACATTGGGTCTCTTCACAGCCTCTGGAACTTATCGATGCTCGCCGGCATATTCTGACTGGAAGCGAACACAATGAAACTCGCAAAGAGCTCCGGGCAAAACTCCGTGTTAGCCTGAAGAGAGACAGCGAATACTGGTGGTCTCATCATGCTCCAGAAACGGAAACGGCCGATGCCCTTGGTACCATCGTAAGTTCTTCCGGCTGATACGGGAAACGTTCAGCAGGAGACTTGGTGTTAGTGAAACAATTTGTGACGAGAGTGGACAGCCTATCCACAACTTAACAAAACGCTTAGAGCGTTGGTCTGAACACTTTGAAAGGCAAGTTAATTAGGCGGACTTGTTAGATTTCTCGCCGGCCACTGATCGCCCCGCTCCCTGGGATGTCACTTTGTATCCACCCTCTCGATCAGAAGTCGGACGTGAGATCGAACTGTTGAAGTTAGATAAAGCCGCGGGACCAGATGATCTTCCTCTAACCCTCTTCAAATTCAGGGAACCTGCTCTGGTGGATGATATACACTAGTTGCTAGTGAAACTGTGGGAGCAGGAAAATGTCCCAACCGACTGGAGCCGCTACGTCATAGTCCCAATTTTCAAGGGAGGCTCGCGTTCGGAATGCGGCGACCATAGAGAAATCGGTCTGAGCTCCTTCATCTCCACATTGCTTGGCTCTGTCATCCTTCGCAAACGGACTGGCACTCGTGAAAGCCATATTTATAAAGATCAAGCCGGGTTTCGTCGAGGTCGTGGTTGCATTGATCACATATTCACTTTGCGTCAGTTGTTGGAACACCGTCACATATATTGGAGGCCCACCGTTATCATGTTCCTCGATTTCAAAGGTGCATTCGATTCTGTGGATAGACGTGCACTTTAGGACTGTCTACTCAGAAAAGGTGTACCTGTGAAATATGTAAATATTATCCGAGCATTATGCAGGCGTAGCTCAGGCAGAGTGAGGGCTTACGGCAAACTGGCGTCGCCCTATAATATCTCTAGCGGCATGAGACAAGTATGCCCGCTGTCATCTTTCCTCTTTAACTTCGCTATTGACGAAGCCATGGAAATCGTGTTCACATGACACGACTTAGAAGGTGTTGATCTGCTTCCAGGAGAACGAGTTCTTGTCTTGGAGTATGTTGAGGATATTGCGCTAATCTGTGACAGCTCACAAATGTGCCAAGCGGCACTGGACAGATTAGCACTGGCTGTCCATCACTTCGGGCTTTGCTTCGCACCGTCGTAGTGCAAAGCGTTCTTCCAAGCTTGGCTTGGACCGCCTTCTACACTGACCTTTGGTGGGAATCAGCTAAAAGTCGTACAAAAAATTCAACTACCTGGGAAGTTGTATCAGTGCCCGTGGAATTGAAAATGAGATCACGAACCATATGGTAAAGCTCAATGAACAATGAACAATAATTTATCACGGGATAAAAGCAAGTGCTTGACATGTCCCGTAGGATGGTAGCGGTGAATATGATGCAATTAAAATATGTCTGGGTCATCTATCGAACGTCTGCCGATATGAATAGTTTGATAAGCAACATCAGTGTAAAATTAAAATAAATTATCGGGCGGAAACATGCAGAAAGACACTGGGGTGCAGTGATCATTGAGGTAAAGAGTGAGAAAAGTAAAATATGGTCGCTCACTTAGGTCCATTTGATACATAAAGCCTGTAGAAATGCATCCTTGGCGTAATCCACAGTAGGGGAATTTAGGTAACAAAAGGTTGGGAGCTAAGAGCGACATCTAATCGTTTTTTTTGAAAACATCCAGGGTAGGAGAGGATACAACTGAGTCAGGAAGTGCGTTCCAAGGTTTGCAAACCCGAAGGGAAAAGTAATTCCGTCGACACTCTAAACGGCTGTATTGTTCCTTCAACTTTAGGCAGTTACCCCTGAGCTGCGTGTTGTGGCTACGTTTCAGCAAATGGCT